TGAAATTCGCCCCCGCAGTGCTACAGTTAACGCACAACCCCGCCAATTAGCACACAACGTGTAGATAGTATTGTCAAACGTACTACGTACGCGTCATCGCCGACCACCCGGAAGCGACCGATACGCTCAACGAACACCTCGTGTCTCACTTGGGTAAACGGATCTGCGATTCCCTTCGTGCGACGCCATCGATGCTGCCGCCAATGGCAGCTACGACACGGTGCAATGGGCGCGCGACCACGGAGTCCTCTCAACTAAGTCGGACCGAATCACGGAACGGGGACGCAACCCACGAGATGGCTATAACTTCCCGGTGCCGGAGGCTAACCGCGAGAGCCACGTCTTCTACGTTGCGCGCGCCGCCGCAGTCAACCGACACCCGGAGATCGTGGAGCTGCTGCTGCCGGACCTAAGGCTGGTGGAGGACTATTCTGACCTGCTGCTGAGGTCGACGCGCAGCAATACGCCGCTGCTGACGGAGCTGATTCTCGAGAGGTGCGAGGTTAATAGGTAAGGCACTGTGCGTGGCCGTCAGCCATGAAGACCTGTGGCACGTGAACATCCTGCTGTGCCACGTGGAGTTGCGGAGCGTCACTGCCGTGTACGACAAAATGCGCTCGCGTGGTTCTTACGTACTTGCTCGGCTCGAGCAGTTCTTCGAGGACACGATCGTCCTGGCGAGCAGAAATGGAGAGCTTCCTGTCGTTGAAGCGCTGCGCGAGTATGCCAGTTACATCGCCCTCACGGAAAGCTTTTTCGAAGCTGTTCGCTGGTACTCACTGGTCCGCGACCACCGGGAAATCGTGCGTCTGCTCGCAAGCAATATCAGCGCGAGGCGTTGGTTCAAGCGATCACCCGATGCGTCTCGCCCAGTCGTGCTGGAATGGACGCTGTGCGCGTGCTCTCGAATCAGCTGATGCTGGCCATCAACGAGTTCGCGGCATCCGTCATCGACGAAGACCCCCGCGGGTTTGTTATCAATCCCGTGCTTGATGAAGAAATCATCGAAGCGGGCAGAACTGGGGCGATTCAAACGGTCCGCGCGCTAAAGAAGGATGCCAGCGCTAGTGCCCGCAATGACTGCTTCTGGAGAGCAGTCCTCGCCGACCCGCCACACCGAGGCAACGAGTATTCAGTCAACGACAAGGTTTAACGGAGGTATTGACGTGGTGCGGAAGCATCGTTGAGAATGATGAGATCACCGTCTCCATCCAACTGTATCAAGATGAATTCTAGCGCCCGATCACTAAACGACTATCGAGAGAGAGCGTCGTGGCAGGGATCAACCCGTTATCGTCATTACCGCCGCAAAAGCGGAGGCTGAGCAGCAGGACGTCGCTGCAGTCGATGCTAGTACGGGGAGAAATCGTCGGTGAGGCTGTGCGCTTTGTGGATCCGGCCGTGGAAGGTCCTTGCACGGCCGTGTTGAGCCTTTCGCTGAACGGTATCAACTACACTTCGACGCAGAGCCCGTTGCAGTTTACGTGTTATGTGGAGCCGATTCTGCGTCGGATTAACCCAGGGTGGGATGCGATGGAAGGGGCCAATGATGCGCTGGCGCTGGAAGATGGAGCACACCCGAGACTTCGGCTGTCAATTGCTGGTTCGCTTCACCCTCCAGGACGAGAAAGAACCAGATGAGAACGGCATTGTGGTTGACGCGCAGTTCACCCCTAACTCTGCAGCTTCTGCAACAGGAGATGGCGCGTTGCAGTGCGTGAGTAGTGGGTACTGGAAAAAACCCAGTCAGTTTTTTTCTCCCCGTAATTTACCATAGAGAACAGTCGTAGAACGTTCTCCGTGAAAGAGGTTATTTCAACGATGCACGCGATCAATACCCTCTGGTGAGAAGGAACACCCTTATCACCTGCAAGCACCGCATATAGCAACATTGGGATTGCATGCAAAGAGGGTTTCATTCTAAAGAAAAACAATATCATCCACGCGCGACACGTGGCGTCTCATCATTGGTTGAAAAGCTATGTGACACGCCTTCATTTCCGCTTAAATACGTCCGGAAATTCTCTCCCCCTTTTCTTCCTCATTCCAGAATCTGCTGCCTCGAGGAAAGATGGTGAAGCTCTTCTGTGCGATCGTTGGCGTGGCGGGCAGCGCGTTCGAGGTGGATATCGACGAGGGTGCATCGGTTTCCGCGTTGAAGAAGGCGATCAAGGCGGAGAGCGACGGGTTGATCAGAGCTGAAGATCCTTGGACGAAGCTGCAGCTCTTCCTGGCGAAGGAGGACGAGGGCCGCGGCCCGTGGCTGACGCATCTTGACGTGCTGGAAGGTGTGAGTGACACTAGTGGCTACAAACATCTACAGTTTACAGACGCGGAGTTACGAGATGTTGGACTGGATGGTGGAGATCTGGGCGAAGTGAGTCGTGCAGAAAAAGCTGCTGGAAAAGGTCACGTCCACGTGCTGGTGGTGGTTCCGGAGGGGGCAGTTGGTTCAGCGAGCGAGACTTCCAGGATGGATCAAGTGGTCCAAGAGGTGCACGAAATTCATGCGCAAACTGTGCTGACCAAGCGCAAGACATATGTCCACTCGAAGGTGGGTTCGACCGAGTACAAGGAACTTCTGGACGCCTTCAACATTAAGGTGCAACCTGTGCGTAAAGCTGCTGCTAAGTGGGGTGAAGTCAAGGGGTTCACATGGGACATGAAACTCAGCGAGGAGAAGCAGAAAGATGAATATCGCGAGTATGTTGACAGCAACATTGGCGAGCTACTCCAGGAGGAGAAGCTTTGCGTGTTCGGTGTGGAAAATACGACAGATATTCTCCGAGTTGTTGTCAACGACTCCAACATTGAGCTCCGGGGTCGCACCGATCTTCTCATACTCAGTGATATCGTCATGGAGAGCGCGGATTATGCGCTGGACTTGCCTGAAGTGAAGATGCTGATTGAAGTGAAGAAAAAGGTTGAAAGACAATCTGTCTTCCAGGCGATGTCAGAGCTAATTGCTCTGGCTCTGCTTGCCGACGACCCAGTGGTTGCACTGCTTACTGACTTCAACGGCGATTGGCGATTCTTCTGGGTCGCCGGGAAGGAAAACAATACCACTTGCGTCAACAAAGTGAACATTACGAATCCAGGTGAAGCTTTCGAGTTGATCAGGCAGCTACTGAAGCCTACGGATATCATGACCCCAGTGCTTCAAGACCCTGTGAAGCGCCAGAAGTTATCCCGGGTGTTGCCGTCCATCAGCGAGGCCAGTGAAAGTGGCGGGATTCGTGAGAGCATCGAACGATACTATGACATCGCCAGTTGTTTAGGCCCCGACTTGGACATGGCGCGTGCTGTGGCTAGACAGGTCACTCGATCTATTCCCACGTTGAGTTATTTCAGCTAATTCTTGCTTTGGCATGCTGCATTAATAATTTTTTTATTCTGATAAATATAAAGTTAATAATATACAAAGATGACTTACTCTCCTGAACAATACCAAGCTAACAAAGAGCGCATTAAGGCAGCTCAAAAGCGATACTACTTGAAGACGAGAGAAACTCGTATCGCTAAGCAGAAGGAGTACGACGAGAGGAATCGTGAGCATATTCGTGCCCAAAAGCGTAAATCCTATGCAGCGAAGAAGCAGTGCGAACCTAACAGTGAAACCGAACTTAGCTAATTAATTAATTATTTTTTTTGAATTTTGTATCAGGGTAGATATAAAGGCGATCTATTCTGACATAAGATCCATAAATTATAAAGTCGATCTATCCTGATATTATATAGTCGGATATATATAGCAAATATGTTTGCATACGAGTTAGAAGGACTAAAGCGATTAAATATTCACCCAATCAAATGGGGGAGTAGCTATCGAGTCAAGATCCGGGGTAAAACCGGTAGAATGACATATATTAGCAATCTATCGCGCCCCAGCAATCAGAATTTGATTGCGAAACAGTACAAAGTTTCCATTGAAGATCTTAAAAAGCATATGTCGCCTGAGTATAAGGCTGATCCTAAGTATCGCTTTTATAACGGTAAGCAGATGGAATCTCATCTATATGAAGGTATCCAACCAGCTGAGTTCTACGACAAGCTTGAGAACGTACTTACCAGTCAAAAGAATGCCTTCAAGGTTAATATCGCTCTCGGCTACGACCTTGTGAGCTTAACCGATGATTTGACACAGTATTGGCATCCGAATATATCCAATACGAGTGTATTTAACACCCCTATTGCTATCAATAGCGCAAGGCTGACATCCGTAAGAAAGTAATCTCTGAGATCCGTTCAATGGAGTTGGCAAACAAGCTCAACTATCCAAGCTCAGGATACAAGCTCAAGTCTATCACTGGCTTTAGAATTTACATCTATCATCGCAACCATGCTCTTGGGGATAGTGATGCGGTCATCCCTAAGATTATTCGTGAAACCCATCACGTTATCAATTTCCCCAAGACTAATAACAAATGTGTCTTCCATTGTATTGCCTGGCATTCAATTCAGGACCCTAAGAAGAATCCTCGAAGAATTCAGGCTCAGGTAAAGGAGGCATTCAAACGCTACTGCTCTTTCAAGGGGGTTAAATATTCGTTGAACCTGTTTCGAAGCTTCAAGCCCATTGACCTACTCCAGCTCGATGACGTTGAATAATGCTTCAAACTCAGTATCAATGTCTATACTATGAACATTGAGTCTGGGAAGGTTGAATGCATTCGTCGCTCTGACAATGAGTATGAAACTATGAATATTCTATCGCATGAGAGTCATGCTCTATATATCAAGAATGTTGATATGCTCCAAAGCAAGTATCAATGCAAGAAGTGTGAAATGGTCTTTGTCAGCTCCACGAAGCTCAAGGATCACTCTAAGAACCAATGCGAACGAGTAAATATTGAAAGCTTCCCAGCCCAGCCAACGGTCTACCGACCTGCTCAGAACACGATACGATCACTGCAAACAAAATACTCCATCAAGGATGCTGATCACTATATCGATCATTTCATGGTGTATGACCTTGAGGCCATTCTTAAGCCTACCGCTACTCAACACGGGGAGAATACTGTCTTTACTAACGAGCATATTCCTGTGTCAGTATCAATAGCCGATAGTTTAACTGATGAGGTACGTTGCTTTGTAAATGATGATCCAAAAGCATTGCTTACTGATATGTTCAAATATATTGGCGATGTATCCTTAAAGATTCGACAGTACAATGTCTCCAAGTATGAGTCTCTGTTACGAAAGATCATTAACGCTCACGGTCTGACGGGTATGGAGATCCCCGACACCCCTCTTGGTAAGACATACAAGATGTCTGACGTGGAGAGTTGGATTGGAGAAGGAAAATATTCCAGTTTCTTCGATTTCCATAACAAAATTGGATTCGCTAAGCAGAGATCAGATTATGGTAAAATCACGCAGCAGCTTGATCAGGTACCAGTATTTGGCTTCAATTCTGGTCGATACGATATCAACTTGATTAAGAGCGACTTGTTCGCTGTGATTGGTGCCAATAACATCAAATCCGTCATCAAGAATCCATCTTACTTGTGCATAGCAACTTGGAACATGAAGATACTTGATATCAGCAACTATGTTCCGGCTGGCACCAGCTATGACAAGTATTTGACGACCTATCTCGGTGGATGCAAGTGTGAGGACAAGATTAGCTGTGTTTGTGGGCTTGGTAAGGGTATTTTCCCGTACGAGTACATTACCAGTTTCAACGTCCTAAATGAAACTCAAGTCCCACCGAAATCAGCTTTGACAGCAAGCTTCGTGGTACAAGCATCTCCAATGATGAGTACGAGCGTGTGAAGTTTGTCTGGGGGCACTTTAAAATGAAGTCAATCAAGGATCTACTCATCTGGTACAACAATCTCGATGTAGTTCCATTCATCAAGGCTATCCAAGCTCAGCGTGAGTTGTTTAAACGTTTTGATCTGGATATGTTTGTCGATGGTGTGTCTCTACCTGGTCTATCGGAGAAAGTAATGTACCAGACTTGCTTCAAAAATCTACAATACCCCAGCAAGAAGCCTGCTAAAGCGTTCAAATTCCCAGCCAAGCGTATGGTTGGCTACAAGAATCAGGATGATAAGGCAAAGCGAGAATTTGGTATGACACTTGATCACTTGAATAGATTGCTAAAGCATCAGAAGTACCTGTGTGCTTTGTGCTACAGTCAGCTGACTTGCGAAACTGCCTCTGCTGATAGAATCAACAACAAGCTTGGCCACCTCGATGGGAACATCTTGATCAGCTGCATTTCGTGTAATACCGCTCGTAAGGATATGTCTCTTGGGGGTTTTCGATACAAGAAACTGCTCGAGTTCAATTCGAACAGATTGGTCTATTCGATTGACAAGGAGGAATCTGAGATATACGGTAAGATGAAGGCCAACATCGCCGGTGGACCATCCATTATCTTCAACCGCTACGCCAAGCGGAACGAGACAACGATTCGTGGTGGTAAGCTCTGTAAAAAGATTATCGGTTATGATGCCAATGCCCTATATCTATGGGCCCTTGGTAATGAGATGCCGTGTGGTCGATTGACTACGATTGAGGCTTACCCTGGTATCATCGATGACATCAAGAACGACAAGATATTCGGCTTTCTCGAGTGTGATATTAGAACCCCAGAGCACCTGAAAGAGTATTTTAGTGAGATGACTCCCATTTTCAAGAATGCTCTGATAGACTGTACCGATGAGAGTGTCATTGGCAAGCATATGTTTGATTACAACCAGTCTCGCGAAGCAAATCGTTCTAAGCCTGCTCGCAAGTTGATTGGTAGCTACTTTGGTGAAAAGATCCTTATGTATGCACCGCTGCTCAAGTGGTACCTTTCTCATGGTATGGAGATCACCAAGACCTACAGCTTTATCAAGGCCAGCTCTCACACGGCATTCGCTCCTTTCATGGAAGCTGTGTCAAATGCTCGACGAGAGGGTGATGAGGGGACCTCAGGGGCGCAGTCCCTGGGGGTCTCCGACTCCAAGCAACAGCTTGACGCTGATAAGTCTAAATCTATGATTGCTGAGATGATGAAACTTGTAGGCAACAGCGCATTCGGTCGATCTGGCATGGATATGAGCAAGCATAAGAAGGTCAAGTATGAGTCGGATCAGAAGGCAATTGAGGCAAAGATCGAACATTTCACGTTCCATGGTCTGGAGGAGCTAAACGATGCTTGTGAAATCACCATGAAGAAGAGACGAATTAAGAACAAGAACCCGATTCATCTATCGATTGCTATCTACCAGCTCGCCAAGCTGCGCATGCTCCAGTTTTATTACGATTGCATTGACTACTACTTCGATCGAAGCGATTTCCAGTATCAGGAGATGGATACCGATTCAGCGTATATTGCTTTCAGCTGTGAGAATCCTTTCAAGGATTGCATCAAGCCTGATCTACGCGACCATTTCAAGCAGTACAAGTATGACTGGTTCCCGCGCGACTATAACTCTGAGGTAGCTAAGTTTGATCGTCGTACCCCTGGTTTGTTCAAGGATGAATGGTCAGGTGATGCCATGGTCTCTCTATCGTCCAAGAACTATATTTGCTATCTGCCAGATGAGTCCTACAAGGTCAAGGTTTCAGCCAAGGGTGTGCAGCAGGGGCGAGGTCGTAATGAGGATGTACTCAATCCAAATGGTTTCGAGACTGTTGTACGGGATCGAATCACACTCCAAGGTACGAACAAAGGATTCAGACTATCGAAGGAATCTAAGTCAATCATCACATATACTCAAACGAAAACAGCTCTCAACTACTATTACGACAAGCGACAAGTTCTCTCAGACGGTATTTCGACTATCCCTCTACAAATTTAAGTACTACAATATATAAGTATTCGTAGAATACTCTTTAGTACCTACGGTACAATATATCATGTCCGAACGAAGTTCGAAGGGGCTTGGCCCCGCGAACAAGTTCGCCTGGGCGTCAGCCCTGTCTAAGCTGCTAACAAAACTCTATTATGACCCAAAAACAGGATTCATAGGAGCTCAAGCACTTTATCAGAAGGCTCACGAGTTAGATCCTAACATAACACTAAAATATGTAAAGGATTGGTATGCTACCCAATCAGATATTCAACGATTTCAGGAGCAGAAGAAGCGATTTGATGGGTTCAAGATTGCTTCACATAGTCCCAACTCATGGCAGATAGATCTCGCGTTCTGGGACAAGAAACCAATATTGACTGCTATCAACATCAACTCTCGACTCGGTTATGCAAAAGCCTTGTCAAACAAGACTGCATCAACTGTGTTAGCAGCGCTTAAAGCGTTTGTCCGCCTCCATAAGGTGGATATCATTACAAGCGATAATGGCAGCGAGTTCATGAACTCACAGACTCAAGAATTCTTCAAAAGCAAAAAGATTGAGCACTTCAACAACGAGCCTGGTGATCATCGGACGATGGGTAAAATCGAGAGATTCAATCGAACTATAAAGCAGAGACTAACCAAAATGTCTCCGAAGAGGCTCACACAGAGAATTATAGCTGATGTTATCGATAACTACAACAGCACATTTCATCGCTCGATTGGTATGGCCCCGAACGAGGCAAGAGGTAAAGTAATGATGGCGGATCTGAACCATCATCAAGCTGAAGCTGATAAGGTCGAGAACGCGTTTGATGTTGGGTCGAATGTACTGTATCGTCTCAAAAAGAAAACATTTGATAAGGAAGCTGCTCACTGGAGCAAGGGTATTTACTCGGTTATCGGCATTGATGGTTATCGGGTTGAGATTCGTTCCAGAAATGGGCATACGCTCTACAAAGCCCCGAACGATTTAAAGATTGTGAAAACAGATACTACAGATGCTACTATCAACCGTGGCGATATTCTCGAAGCTGAGAAGATATTAGCCCATAAAAAAATGAATAATGGCAAATATAAATACCTAATCCGATGGGTAGTAGGCAGTGAGCCCGACTCATGGGAGCCTCAAGATAACCTACGCTTGATCAATAAAAATAGGAGAAGCAAGCTTGAAGAAGATTATTTATCTCACATAGCCAATATATAGGCTATATATATAGACACCATATTCAATATGGCTTGCCAAGCAACGACCAAGTCCAACAAACCTTGCTCGAGAGATGCTCTACCTTGTGGTTATTGTACTCAGCACTCAAAGGACTACAAGATTGAAATGTATAAGAAAGAACTCAAAAAGATGCATCAGCGAATGAGATTCTACAGCGATAAGGTCATTCAAATCAATCAGATGCTCAACGATATCTACAGGCTCGACTATATCAAGTATCATCTTCACCAACTCGACCCCAATCGTCCATATCGTTATGTATGCTCTGATCCGAAATACAAGGATCAGATCGAAGATCTATTTGGTTTGCCTATAGATGAAGGTAAAAACGCGTACGTCAGATTGCTCCAAAGGCGTAATTCGATCGTTCATAAATTTACTATGAAACTTTGGGAGTCGCGGGAAGATATACCTAACATTGAATATAAGCCAAAATTTCGTAAATAATATCGAGTTTGATATATATACTAATCGATATGTTCCCTTCATCCACGAGTCTATCCGATCGCGAGCAGAAGCGGCTCGATCTACTCGAACGCACCAAGCTTCGGGTTAAACAGAAAGATGAAGCTCGCCGTATGTATGCTGAAGCTTCATGGGCCACAGACGCCGATAAAACCATCTCCCTCGAGAAGAAATCCGCACCACAGGTGGAGTCGCAGTCGCAGACTGCCGGCTTCGCCTCACGCCTGAGCGACCGCTCAGCACAAGATTCTTCTAATCAAGCTGGAGATGGTGATTTAAAAAAAAACTCTGAAGTAGATGCTACAATCCCTGTAGTTAGCGATACCGCGACAGAAGATAGAACAAACTCTCAGGAAGTCCCTGAAGTTAAAACTGATGGTTGGTCGAAGACCGCCCGGGAGGGGCTACACCCGCTCCCTGATAAAACTGAAGAATTCATTGCAAAAAAATGGATCAAGAAACTCTATCAGTCTAATCCAAACTGGATCGCTGTTAAATTTAATCCAATCAAAACCAATAAAACCCAAGATATGAGGCGATATATTGGAAAAAATGGAAACCTGTTCAGTCTCAAGACAAATAAGAGGTCAGATTCTAAGTACATTGACTGGGTACTAACCGCAACTGAACTGATGAATATTAGATCCGATGGAGAATCGAACAGTATTGATGAAGTCAGCTTGATGCGCATGGAAGATACCGATACTCCGAATCAATTATACGATATAACTGGTAGTAAGAGGCATAGATTTACTACTTCAACCAAAACGGCTAACAAAATTCATGTGCAACCAACATGGTTTCACGATGCTTCTTCATCGACTACAATAGATGAGGAACAAGCTAAATCAAAGCTCCTATTCATGCTGAAGGCTTACAAGAAGAAACTGATCGGCTCTAACATCGTCATAAGGCCTGTTTTAAAGGATGGAGAAGTTCTAGACAAATACGAACTAATCATCGACTCTAAGGGCGATCTCAACGTTAGAAGCCAAGAGACGAAAAGGAATAAGCATTCTCGACTATCTGATATCTCTTGGGTATCAACTCTGTCATTGTTTATCGAGACGGTTAAATCACGAGGATTGACTTTTGAATTTGAACCATCACCAGACACTGTTTTAGATAGTGATCCTGACCGGTTTAAATCCACGCAAGGTATTTGGTATAAGGGGAAGCTGTCAGGACCAGATGTCATGGAGGACCTATCTATCCCAGAGACTGAGGCGAAGGCAATTATCAGCGACTACTATATCGAAGCGGGTAAATCAGATAGCATCTTCCCAATTCATTTGCTTCCGATCGTAAGTGGGAATCCAAATAAAAAATACTATTTCGCCGTTATTGATGGCAACCTACGACTTAGAAAACTGGACTCTAAGTCAAATGCACCCCTATCTGGTAAAGCTCATACCAGCTTTTTCAAGCGTATCCAATGACCAGAAACATTGAATCTATTAATGGATTACCTTAGAGAGATGGAATCGTTTATCCACTCTGATCACGACGTTGATAATGCAACCAAAGAGCCAATAATGAATGCTCTCAAGCTGTATATGTACGTTTTGAAAGCACATGGGGTTAAGATTAAAGAGCCAACCGTTGGCGGTAAGCTCAAGGGTCGAGGCCTTCGCGGGGCTGGCATCCAGCCTCTCGAAGGTGTTTTACGAAAAACAAATCAAACTTACAACTTGAATGATATTCAAGGTAAAGCAACTCCTTCCGCTTACATATATAGGAAGCTTGGCAGTAAGTTTATCAGACTACCAGATCTCGACAAGAGAACTCTCACGATCGTTCAGCCAAATCGACGAAAAGTAGGCCCAATGCGTGAGATCAGTGATCCTCTACAAGCCATGATCAAGGATCTTGTCTTCAGAAACGATATCAGTCAGGAGAAGTATGATAAGCTATCTATTGATGATAAGAAATTGTTCAAGGAAATCCTTGAGATGACACATTTGCAATACAGCTTCGATCATAATTTAGATGATCCTCTTGATTCCCTACGCATGGAGTACGATAAGCTCAAGGGCGAGCTGATGCTTGGGAATGATAATCCAACGATTCTAAAGCAGTTGAAGGTGGTCTGTGTCGACATGTATAGCAATCGATTGATTTCAGATTCTGAATTCAAATCAATTATCACGAGACTATTATAAGATGTTGATTCTTGATCCAAGACTGATTTCCAAGAGCGCAGGTATCTATCAGCTCAATGCCGATAGGAACCTCACTGAGCTTAAGCACCTGATGAAGGATCTCATTATCAAGGAAGCTCCTCACCAAGATAGACCAACTGTTTGGGCGAGCGACTCAAAGCCATTCTCCACTAAGTCAGTAGCTACGCAAACCGAAGCAGATGGAGGTCGTATGTGGGCATACAAACCAAAGCAAAAAATGAGCAAGCAGCCAAAGACGTTTGCTCTGTAAGCCTCCTGAATATCTGAGCTCCAAGGGAGCGATTTGACCGAAGGCCAAGAGCTCTCACCTCGAGACCAAGGTCTCTTGCTTTCAAGCAATAGAATATCTGAGCTTTTTCAAAGCGATAGAATAAAGTTTTTTTGCCCGAAGGGAGCCGCTACGCGGGCTCATTGATGCCCCTTATCCTCTAGAGCGTCTAAACGATTTAGGACAGATTGGAGGCATTTATGGAGTAAGCAAGCGATCTTATCGTAATCGAGAGTTAATTGATACCCAGCCATGTCTCCTGCCTGCTCTATCTGCAAAGAATCATTTTGAATGAAAGAGATACACTCGACTGCATATTTGGCTACATCCTGAGCTATATAGCCGAGTTCTTGTCTCTCTGAATTTGATTTATACGCGAAGAGTTTCGGGCTAACGTTTCGAATGAATGCAGTGGTATCATCGATATCTTGGATATTGGTCTTTAATCGCCTATCACTGGTTGTATAATAGGACCCACTACTTACAAGAATGCTGTTAGAGCTCTTGATTGAAACGGCGACGCTGCTCACTGGACCAACGGTAAATGTCGTACTGGTTTTAGACAATTGACCATAGCCTAAACCACCGCTATCGATAGTTTGGCTCACGGAGCCGGATACATCTAATTGCGCTGCTGGGGAAGTTGTACCGATACCGACCCTTCCAGCGTTCGTTCCTCCCAGAATAGTCATTCGTGTGCTATCGTTTGTCCCCAATCTCAAATCATTATTGGTCATCGAGCCAAAGAATACAGAATTTGTAGAAGTAGCTGAAGTTGAGTTATGACATTGGATAGCTGCTCTAACGCCTGAGTTGCCATAGAAGTCGGCAAGGAGACTAAAGCTGCCATCGAGCCATGTAGTGTTATCACTCTGTATCGATAACCAACTACTTTGATTAGCCAGAGTCTGATTGATAGTGCCTCCGCTCACTAAATGAACACTATCGGCATTTAGAGTGCCTCCCAACCCCATATCTCCAGATACAACTAAAGTGCCATTGGTTTGTGTAGTTGATGAAATAGCCGCATCAAATAAGACCTTTCCATTAGGAATCCAAAGTGAATAAGCATTGGTAATTGTCATATTAGTTCCTGCTGTAGGAGCATTAGCAATATATACTGTTGCCGCATTTGTAGTAGTTACTGTAGCATTAGAAGCTGCAATAGTTGGTTGAGCAAATGAAGTAATAGTAGCACTTGTCGCTGTCCCAGAAGAAGCTGTGGTTGTGTTTGTATAGGTAGTAGCTAATGAGTTGCATTGAATACCTGAAGTAGTCCAAGATGCAGCTGATACAGCTGTTCCTCCAATAGTAATATTTTTAGCTATACCCAGACCACCACTAAGCACTAAGCCACCAGTGCTTGCTGATGTAGATAATGTGTTATTAGTTAAAGAAACTATTCCAGAAGCATTAATAGTAGTACCATTAAGTGTTCCACCAATACCAATACCAATACCACCAGTTACTACTAATGCTCCTGTTGAAGTAGAACTCGAGGCAGTATTATTGGTAAAGGTAACTAACCCAGATGCACCAATAGTAGTAGAGCCAGAAATACCTCCTCCAAGAGCTAATGATGTAAGAGTGCCCACAGAAGTAATATTACCTTGAGCTGCAGTAGTCAATGTACCAGTAATCGACGTAGCTGTTAATGAATTAATCGTAGCAATATTTTTACTTGAATCCAGAATAATTGCCTTGGAAGCCGTAGCAGTGCCAGCAGTTACTCCATCAAGCACTCCAATTTCAGATGAAGATATCGTTATTCCACTCATGGTTAAGGAACCACTTGTAGTGATTGAAGTAAGCGTACCTACTGAAGTGATATTGGCTTGAGCAGCAGTCTGTAGTGTACCAGTTAGGTTCGTAGCTGATAATGAATTTATGCCTGATATATTGCTCGAGGAATCGAGTACAAGCGCTTTAGATGAAGCAGCAGTGCCAGGAGTAATCGATAATACATATGTCGGAGGAGCTACTATTGATGATCCTCCTACGGTAAGTGATGAACAACTCAGTGCCCCCAACCCGCTAAGCGATCCATCAGAAGCAACGACAAGGGAGATACCAGGTGTTGCAATCCCTGGAGTGATTCCTGTGATATATGATAGGCGATAGTCGCTTCGTCCGAGATAGAGCGTTTGAGCATATGCATATGTTAAGTATCAACTCGGATCGAGGGAGATGTAGAATGCCGGATTGTAGCACGATGAAATGAATGTAGGTTGAGGATAACTAAATCCACTCATAGATAAGCTATTCGACTGAAGTCGAAGTTTAGTGGCGCGCTAATATTTCTTCAATCTTATATAAGGCACACGATTTTTTCTTAGCCATGTCTGCAATTCCCGATTATGGAGGCAGTCTCCCTAAGAAGTATCGAGCTGATTCAGTTGGAAACATAGCGGAATTAGGTATCAAGAAGCTTTTTCGCATGGTTATTCTTGGACCATCGTTTTCCGGGAAGAACAACCTCTGTTATCATATTCTCAAGTCATCTCCGCATGTGTTTAGTCATCTTCATATCATTGCTCGAAACCCTCATCAGGATCTATATGACTATTTACGCGATAAGCTTGAGGGATTTATATCATTTTACGAACCTGATCAACCGCCTAAGGTAGATGCCATCCGACGGACTCCTGGCGATAAGCCAGAGCTTGTCATCATCGACGACTATAGCAACGATAAAAACCTTCAGAAGAATGTATTCAGTCATTACTTTACCAGAGGTCGGCATTTCAAATTGAGTACCATATTCCTAAGCCACAGCTGGTTTGCAACGGACAAGATGATTAGATTGAATACGGAATACGTCGCGATCCTCCGAGCAAACTCTCGTCGGGATTTGAAGCTACTTATCACCGACTTTAATATACCAGGTCTGACTGAGGAAGGCATCCTTCATTACTATAACCGGACGATTTCTCGAGGAAAAGGCCAGATGCTCTTTATCGATAGTGTCAAGGGTCAAATACGCTATAACTTTGATACACCAATTAAAATTGGTGAAAATTATTAAATTGATAATATAAGCGATGAGTTCATTCGTTAAGATAGACCAAACCTGTTTGGTTCAAGATGGGCTCAACAGTCGATGGGCCTATACGTTCCCCGGATCAGCGTGCAATTTTCAGGATGTTGAGGCTTCTATCCAGTCGATCAGTCTGTATAACTCGGAATTCAATGTCGATTCGATTCAGTTCGCCAATACATCGTTTCAGATAGAAGTACCTACCGCTGCAACGACAAGTGTCATTAGTGTCAATCTCGTTGATGGATACTATCTTTACACAGACATCAATAGAAATATTCAAACGGCTCTCGTCAATGCTGGGGCCTATCTAATCGACTCTAATGGGGATAATGTTTTCTATTTACAAATCGAAGAGAACCGTACGTATTACGCATGTCAGCTCGATTGCTCGCCAACTCCAACGTCGCTGCCTACCGGTTATACGAGACCAACTACTGGTTTATACTCGAGTGGTGGTACTGGATTGCCTACTACGACTCGTGTTCCTCGCTTGATCATCAATAATGCTGCGTTTGGAAACCTGTTAGGCTTTACGTCGGGGACGTATCCAACTTCGCCTACAACGTCAGCTACGAGTCTGCTAAGCAATACTATTCCCCAGATCTCGCCAACGTCTTCATACGTTGTTAGGTGCGATCTTATCAAGAATGATTTCGTTGCATCAGGTGATATCGTGAGTGTATTTGATAAAGGGGATTCAACGATTGGTAAGCAGATTCAATACTTCCCAAGTCATGAGACTTGGTGTCGTACCCACGATGGACCAAGGAGTACTGTAAGCATCAGCATCTGGAATCAGAATGATCAAAGAGTCCATTTCCGCGATACGAGCGTTAATATTATGCTACTCCTACGCAAGCGTCGAGCATAAAAAAATGAAGTTTTTTTCAGCCTTTACATTGTGAAAGATCCCCCGTCCTTGTTCTTACGCATAGCACGAAGCTTAGCCATATGAGCCTTTGCTTCAGGAGAGCCCTTTGCGAATTTGGCCTTACGACGCTTGCCAGCTACACCTACACCGAAACGGGTTTTGATACCTCTACGAACACTATGAATCATTTCGTGATGCTCTGGTCGATCAGACTTGCTGACAAGATATTTCTCACCTTCGTCGATTAGATCAGTGATGATTCCTCTTTTCTTAGCATAGCGAAGAGCATTGCCTGCATGTCGTTTTACATCTAAGAAACTGATACGTCCTCCTTCTTCATCGCTCCCATAACCGTCCAATCCTACTCCAGTAAGCGATTTAAGACCAGCTCTGGCTGCAATCCCAGCTTCAGGAGCACCAAATGCAGTAGCAACAGCTGGAACAGCTACGTCAGCTGCCTTCGATAGCAACCCACTATCCTTAGCGAACTTAAATCCAGATTTAATTCCATGCCAAATTTTTGACCAAATAGATCCACCCTGAGCTCGCTTGTAGCCCTTTTTGATTTCATGCTTAGTTATGTGGAGTCGAACTCCACGTCCGGCCTTCTTAGCTTTGAGAGCTTTCTCATGCGATTCAGGATGTAAATGGATCTTAGCTCCTGACCCTTGTAGCTCTGCTGCTGTAAGGGATAGCTTACCAGTATTGGCAGCCTTTCGTAATTTATGGGCGGGAACACCGCTCGAGATGATAAGTTCGTTATACATAATTTGTTGATTGGGGACAACGTTTGCGTGGTAGTATATATTAACTCAGAACTAATCTGCAACAAAAATATTTAAATCTTTGAATTTATTGAATAGATCCATCCGATTGTTCTGCTTTGCATATAACCATAGCAGCGACCAAATACCACAATAAGAGCCGTGAGCTGATTGAGTTTGAATCTCGTTGTATTTGCTGATGCCGTATTTCTTCGGTGGCCCTTCTCCCATTGAATCGAAATATTCATGGTTATATACACCTGTCCAATGACCTATGTCTTGGCTCGGCTTACGTAGTAGAATCAGGAACGATCCTTTCCTTGGAAGAGGCTTTTTGATCTCGCTTGACTCATAAATGTGATCAATATGAACATTGAGCTTCTTAGCTAAAGCTATTAGATCGTGATCTGATGATATTGGTTTTACAAGATTCATTTAATTATTTTTCACCAAAGCTATATTGGAGTGTATATAACTGAATCAACTATGTCCGATACTCAGCTCGCTGATCAATTCCTATACCAATCTTCGCTTAAGAGCGATCCGGCCTTTAAGGTCAGCTCTCGAAAGCGTGTGCCGTACGTCATCGATCTAAACCACGGTTCGTATGCGAATGGTATTATTACGATTGATGCTACAGCTCAGCTTAATGGGGCTGAGGGATTTGCCTGCCTCAGAGATGCCTACGTTGTCATTCCGTACAAGGTGAGTATGAAGAATACTCATGCTTCTACTGCGCTTGCTGCGGCTGCCAACCGACTGAGCGTTGGTCTCAAATGCGGTGTATGGAATGTTATCGATGGTATGTCGCTGGAGCTTAATGGTAAGAGCTTGATTTCGATGAGTGAGTATAAGCTGTTTGCTAACAACCTTCGTGCTCAAGCAGAGACCTCACTCGACTATGTAAATAAGCATGGTGCTGAGGATTTCTTATTCCCCGATAGCTCTGGCTCGTTGTTATTCTCGTCTGCTACAAGCAGCCTGTATGGTGATGGTTATTCGAATACGGCTTCGGATATCACTCCTGCTTTGGGTACGGCTTCTACAGGTGCTGGAGTTCTTGCATCCAACGAAGGCTTGGTAAAGCGTCTTCTATCCAATCCACCTACAGCAGGCGGTCAGAACACTAACGGTTGGGTTAGTATCGCTTCTGGAGCTGCGAACACTATTGCTAACCAGTTTGGGCGAGGGGCCTTCGTCCCCGGTGGAACTGCTGCTGCTGCTATCGCAGGAACGTGGAATTACATGCTCAAGATCAAGTTGGTTGATCTCCACCCGATCTTCAAGGAGCTTGATCTCATGGCTAATCCTCAGATCAAGCTTCGTTTCCGCGTAAATCAGGGATCGGCCGTAATCAACCTTAGCACTACTAAAGCTATGTCGCTTTCATCGACTACGCTTGTTTCTGGTCAATCATGCCCGATCATGGTAGCCTCTTCGGCTGGGTCTGCTCCTAATAGTGGAGTATTTAATGCTACGACCGCAGGTCAGATCTCGGTGGCATGGGGTGCTATTACCAATTCTCTTGAGCCAACCATTGATAGCACCTATTTCCCTTTTACTACTACTCGTCTGTACGTACCATTCCTTGATCTCGAAAATCCTCAAGCTCTGATCAGCAAGCCTAACAAGACTGTCCGATACATGGATTACTATGCGCAATGGTTCTACCAACGCGCAGGTACTGGCGTCAGCTCTACTCAGCTGAACACTGCATTCGATCTACAGCTGTCTGCCAGTCTTAAGAATGCCAAGGTAGTTGCTCTTCTACCGTTTGCTGAGACTTCGTCTGGAAATTTCAATAGCTCTACTATTCAGCAGTTCCAGTCGTGTTTCGATAGTGCCCCTTGGACTGTTCAGCCTGGTTCGTCGATTCGCATCTTTAATGTTCGTATTGGTTCACAGCAAGTATTTGATATCTCGTATGACTACGATTTCCAGGACTTCATCAATGAGTTCGCTAAGCTTGGATCGATTAATGGTGATCTAACTAAGGAACTATCGAATGGTCTGATCGATTACCAAACCTAGCAGCAAACCAATCGTGTGCTTGTAGCAGACGTATCTCGTCTGACCGCGAAGGATGTTCCACAGAGCATCCAGGTTATGGGAACGAATGCTTCGACACAGGGTTGCAACATGCTTGTACTGGTTGGCTTTGAAAATGAGATGACGTACAATCGATTGACTGGAGAGGTACTCGAATATACCTCTAACTAAGCTATCGTTTGTATGATCCGATAACTATATAATCACCACTCTTCAGCTTAATTCTACGATCATTGCTTTTTACTATGAGGAGTGTTTTTCCTATCCCACGAGCGACTTGCTTAACTTTTAGATTTATCTCAACTTGGGACACAAGTAATTCTAACTCTCCTCTATCTGTTAAACTGTTCAGACTTAAGCCAACGATTGATTCATTATTCCTTAGATCATAAATGGTCATCTTGTAGCTTGTATTCGAATTAATTAATTAAAATTAAAATATTTCCTGCTGGCTATGTATATAGATACAGTCGATAATAATCATGAATTTAGTTTTAAATTTTGGTAAGCATAAATCCAAGACGATTGAAGAAGTGTATGCTTCTGATCCAGGCTACTGTCGTTGGTTGTCGAATCAGAAGATTCTCATTGATTCCGAGCCTGGCATTAGTGATTTTCTCAAAGCTAAATTCATCAACGATGATGGGTCATTCTTAATGACTTGGGGCAAATTCAAAGGTCGAACGATCAAACAAATCCAAGCAATCGATTCCAACTACATCGAATGGTTGAAGAAGAATGAATTCGTTAATCAGAAGATGTCTAAGCTGAAGGGTGCTCTTGATGAGCTCGCCTAAGCTGATGGTATTTTTTTTGAAAAAAAATATTCTGGAATTCGGATTAGCTTGAACGAGCTTGTACCCAGGTCAATTCTTCTACGGTTTTCGATCTCCATGAATGACCATGCAAAGATTCAGGCATTGATGTTGTCCACGATTTATGTCTCTTAGTTTGACAATGATGGGCATAGTTCCACCGTTTGCCTGCGTAGCCACAAGGACACGAAATGTCGTGGTGAAGTCTCGCTTTAAAAATGTTCGTCATCATTGCCTCTGCCTTTTCCACGTTTGATACTACTATCGAATGCTTCATACAACGAACTTTTGACGGAGCCTTACTACAAACATTTCCGTTTTTCAATACAAACATACACATTATCTTAGTTATGATGATATTATATACTTAGTAGTTTATTTGTCAGGATTAAACGTCATTTAAAGATTTGCCTCTGAACAGTTGAGCGGTTCCGAAACTATCCTCAGATCCTTTGAGTGCGTCCTTTCGTGCTAAGTTATCGAGAGGCCGTGCCGTTGAAATCAATAGCTGAGTATTAGATGTAGTTATCGGTGGTGAAACCATCCTTAGAACTAAAGGAGGTCTGCTTTCACTCTCAGCTGTTGAGAGGTGTTGTCGTTGAAATGATCATTTGATGCATGTGAGGTTGGTGTCGCTATATGCGGTGCTTGCAGGTGATAAGGGTGTTCCTTCTCACCAGAGGGTATTGATCGCGTGCATCGTTGAAATAACCTCTTTCACGGAGAACGTTCTACGACTGTTCTCTATGGTAAATTACGGGGAGAAAAAAACTGACTGGGTTTTGTTCCAGTACCCACTACTTGCGTGTTCCCAGCCGCGCTTCCAGGGTTCTACGAGCTCGAGGTGAGTCTGAACGGGCATCGCCGTCCTGCAGCCTGCCATGAAGCGCGCCGTGTTGAGAGCTCACTTGTCATTTTTTACTTCTGCCAACCAGTAAGAACGCCAAGCTACAACCGTCTCCTCAAAACACCGTGAAGATCTCCGCGTCAGCTTTGATCGGGTTCGGGGCTCTTCTCCACGTTGCTGAAGTTTCGGCTCAAGCGTTCGCAGCTCCAGCCTCGGTGGCGATCTGCCTGTCGTTGGGCCATGGGATGCACCCGTGTCGAACGAGACCATCTCCAGCCCTCAAGCTTCTTCGGCAGCAGGGACTCCGTCCACCCCCATCGTCGGTGGTGGTGGCAATTCATCGATGCTTGGAGCCTCGGAACCGCCGAGCTACCTGGTTGAGCACACGGACGCCATGAGTCCTCCCAAGTACCTGGATTCGTCGGTGATCAAGAACTGCGCCATCCCGACCAACAACTGTAGGGCAACATCATCGCGCACGACTCGAACGCGGCCATCCAGCCTATCTGGCCGAACCCGTACTCGCTGCAGATGGTGGTCGACAACGCACCCTTCGGCATGTCCGTGAGCTACCCGTATCGCAACCGCTTCAGCGGCAGCAGCTCCGGAAACAACGGCGCCGTCAAGTTCTACGCGCACGGCCAGGTCCGCGAGTTCATGTTTTCTGCCGTCGAGATGCAGCAGAAGCCCAACTTCCAAGTCGTGGACTGGGCCGATCAAGGTGTGACCGTCAAGTTTTCGGCCACCTCGTGTCGGACCTCGTGTCAGGCATGGTGTACACGTCCATGAAGTACTCGGGGCTCACCCCGCGCCTCGTGTCGAGTGCTGCGACCTCCAGCGTCAACGGCCAGCCGCTTGGTGGACAAGTGCGCGGCTCCAAGTTCGTGATCGCGTACAACTCCGGCCAGAAGTGGGTTGTCTACGCACTCTCGAGCGACGGTCGCAGTGAGCAGGAGATCACTCTGACTGCTGACGGCAACATTGCACTCAAGAGCACTGCACCGTTCGACTTGGCAACGCCTCCTGGCTGAGCACAAGTCCTGCGTCGTGCAGGCCGCCACCGTGGATCTGCACGACGACAGCTCCTACGCGTTCAAGTGGAAGACTGCTCCGTTGGTCTGCTGCACTTCGCGATGAAGCACCAGGTCGAGTCCATCGACACGAGCGCCGGGGCCCGCAAGGTGGACGGCATGATTGCGTACTCGACGACTCGCGGGGCGTAACAGGCTTTCACGACGCCGGGCGGCTCGGCCGACCCTGTGTGGGAGATCAAGGAGACCCAGCCCGTACGGGAAGACTTCTACCCGGCCCGCAAGATCGCGTTTGCCGTGGCTCAGCAGCAGCGCTTCCCCGACCACCTGCGCGAAGACATCAACGCCGCGTGGTCCATTCCGCTTGACGGCAGCTACTACTTCAACGGCAAGGCTGCCCAGAAGTACGCCTCCTTGTGCTTGATCGCGAACGACGCGGCCGTCGTAAGAGCCTGCTGAACACGTGCCTGACCAAACTGCGCGGCGTGATGACGCCCTTTGTGTCCAATAGCTGGGCCAACAAGCTCCAGTACAACCAGATCTACGGCGGCATCGTGAGCTCGCAGGGCTTGAAGACCAAGGACCTCAACTCGGACTTCGGCAACACCATGTACAACGACCACCACTTCCACTACGGCTACTGGGTCCACGCGGCGGCCATCATCAACCGCCTCGACCCGACCTGGAGCGAGATCGGTGGCCAACCTGCTCGTGCGCGACGTGGCCAACTACGACCCGGAGGACAAGTTCTTCACGCGCTTCCGCTTTTCGACTGGTTCCGTGGCCACTCGTACTCGCACGGCGTGACCACGTTCGCCGAGGGCAAGGACCAGGAGAGCACGTCGGAGGACGTCAACTTCGCCTTCGGCATGTACATGTTCGGCAAGGCGACCAACAACGCGGCGCTCGAGACCGTCGGCAAGCTCATGACGCGAGTCAACGCTCACGCCATCAAGGCGTACTTCCTCATCGAGAACGCCAACCAGATCCACCCGACCAACTTCCGCCTCAACAAGGTCACGGGCATCTTCTTCGACAACAAGGTGGACTACGCCACGTGGTTCAGCGCCTAGAAGCACTGCATCCACGGCGTCCAGATGATCCCCGTGTCGGCCGTCGCGCACTAAGCAGTTCGTCAAGGAGGAGTGGGAGCAGGTGCTGAACAAGGAGACGATCGTCACGCGCGAGGACACGTGGCTCTCGCTGCTGTACGCCAGCTGTGCCATGGTGGACAAGCAGCGCGCGCTGAGAAGGCCAAGATGGACGACGGCCTCTCGCGCTCCTGGGCGCTCTACATGGCCGCCAGCTTCGCCGAGTGAGTGAGCGAGCCCATTGCCGGTCAAAGAACCCGCCGCTTGTTGTGAAGACCATCGGAAGGCTTCCGACAAGCTTAGACCATCTTGCCAGGAGTGACACGTAATAGAGCTCAACACGAGGAATCATAAAACTAAATCTGCTTCCGATTGACTAGATTTGCTGTGCCAAAAGTGATACCTTTCCATCCAATTCATGCAAGTACTCCGGGTCACCTTGAATCCATCCAACCGCACCAAATATCATGCAAAACTTGAACCGATACTTCCGGTCGGCCACTGCATTGGGCTTAATTAAACCCAAGCATACTTTTCGTTGCAGAACCAGTGAGGAAGAGCTGTCGTCTTGCTATCGTCCACATTTCCGCGGCGAAACACCATGGCATTCGACAGCGAGAGCTTGCGTTCCGCCACTTCAATCTCAACGAGACTGCGGACGTCGTCGCGCAGCAAACCAGAAGGCGGGTCCCAGATCACGACCTTCTTGAGCTTGAGCTTGCGCCCTTCTTGCATCGCCGCGTCCAGCAGAACGCGTATGATCTCAGCAGCATTGTCACCGGAATCGGGGAACCGCACCCGATCCACGTACAGCGTCGACTCCTTCAGGTTGTGCCACCAGAGCACGAAGGCGTCGTCGTTAATCCTGACACCGCAACGTGATGGCAGCTCGTCAAAGCCCGCAGCCCGCGCATAGTGCACGCCGTTAACGAACTGCCATTCAATTGAGTCGCGGGTCGGCAGGATCAAGAACGCGTTACGCCCTTGAAACTTCTCGCTATTAGCCAGCGCGTCCACCAGGCGGGCGTTATCAGCTTCCAGGAACTTGTCCAGCTTATCATCCAGTACCAATGACTTGAGCTCAGTGCTGCTGTTGTTGTTGTCGACAGCCTTGGTGTTGCGAGGGTGGTCAATCTCCAGTGTAGCCAACTTGGACGGGTGGCACTTCCAGCCGAGCTTGTCGTAGAATGTCGGTCCGACGTCCGAGTAGAGCACAGAGATGAGCGCTTGGGGCAGCTGCTCCAGCTGCTTGGCCACTTCGGTTAGGAAGAAACCCGCAAGGCCGCGCTTCCGGAACTCCGGGAGCGTGTAGACCGAGCTGATTTGGTACGAGAAGCCTCGCTCGATCTCCCCGAGCTTCGACGGTAGACGCAGGGGAACCGAAGGGTCTTGCAATGACAGCAGAGCAGGTCTCGACCGGCTACTACCCCCGAATCACTTGAGGTTTGGGGATTCTCCTCAGTTTTATCCACGAGGGCCCAGAAGAGAGCTCCATCCTGGGAGAAGCGAGTGGCGCGCTGCGCTTCACCTTTCTTCTGCCATTGCTGCACGTCGAGCAGCGGAGACCCCCAGTGCTCGTGGTCGTCGGTACCTTGAGCGCCTCCTGCGTCAACTGCACCACGCGGAACTGGGAGATCGTCGAAATGGGGGGATCCCAGTAAAGTACAATCCACAAGCTGGTGGAGAGGAGAGCAGCAAGCAATGGACGGTGCGGCGGCGTTTGTAGGCGACGGGAACTACGTGGGCGATGGCGGGGGAGCTACTGCAGCGTTTGTGGTACGGAGCGGGAGTGTGTATGTTGATAGAGATGACATTGTTTAATTGGCTTGCTTGTTGTCTGTGGATGGAGTAGGGACTTCGCGCCGTGGAAGGTGATCCGGAGCTGTCCTGGTCGATACATTATCAAGCACAAGAAGCAAGCGCCGTTCTTGGTGAACGGAGACTGCCATTGACTTCGTCCGGAAAGCATTGGCAAGTTCTGATGGCGAGGTGCCTCCTACTTTCGTTGTGAGTCCGCGATGCGTTGACCGAGTCAAAGTTGTGGTGTTCGGGGGGGGGGGAGGAAGTGGCGGCGGCGTTATCACCTACTGCAAGCAAGAATCGGAGGAAGGACAAGACGGAGCGGCTGTCTACGTCCACACGCTCAACACGGCGTCGGGGCTGCGCAGAAAGCTTGGAGGCTTGCAGATCGACCACGTCCTGACAACTGAGGCTCGAAATGGTAGACATACTGTAGATAAGCATACTTTTGAGTATTACCAACAGTTATCGTTGGTTGCGGAACTCGGCGAGCGTTTGCTGAAATGTTTGCATGGACTGCTGGGCTTGGAGCACCGCCTGTTGGTCTCTGTAGTTAGCTAGCTGCGCGATTTTGCGAGAGCGATCGTTAGTCCACTTTTTATAAAGCAGACTCTGGGCATGACGAGGTGGTCGATGGTACTCAGCAGGTTGCTGGCCTATAGATGAATGTGCAATGATCCAAGAACCATCGGTCGACGCATTCCCGTCTGCTTCGAGTTGTACGCAGGGGTTTGTTCTGCTCGAGCGATCAGCTCGTTCACTAACGCAGTCGAGTCAAAGATCGTCGGCTCTTGGTTGGAGTCCATTCTCTAATCTTTGGCACGATTTTCGTCGCTGAAGGATGATGCCGTTGTTGGGTCAAGGAGCTTCTGCAGCTTCGACCCTGGACTTGTTTATCGCTGCAGTAACCAGCTTCACGCGAAAGATGTAGCACTAGTGAAACTCCAAGCTGAATACGACAAAATGCACCGCGTTGCGGCGGAAGCGCGAATGCGAGCAGAAAAGTACAAGCTGGGTGAGTTCGACGAGAGCTTAAGCAACCAGATGGAACACAAACTTCCAGTACCCATGATTCCGCAATCGAGCCTCAAGGACACGAGTAAGGGAAGATCTCCCGCAAACCACGAAGCTTTTTTCAAAGCTATCTAAAGCAAGAACACCACTCTGGAGGATTCAGACCGACCAACAGAGCCTCTGCGCGAACTGGACACCCCTAAAACTTCATCGAGACCCTCGAACGTCGCTGCTTTGGAGGCTATCAAGCAGCAAATGGCGCGGGATATCCAAGATCAATATCGCTTCCACGAAGTATGGTACCGCGTTGAACGCTAAACTGTGTACTGGCATCTAACTGGTTTTCCTTGTGCGAAACTCAGCGCAGCTCTGAGGGAGATGGAGGTATGCAGTGCTAGTGGGAAAACGCTGAAGAAGAGGAAGAATTACGACAACTGCAGCAGCTATTCGCTGCGAAATCCTCGGAGATGGCTGCAGCGGTGAACGAGTCCAGGGTCGAAGCTGCAGAAGCTCCTTGACCCAACAACGGCATCATCCTTCAGCGACGAAAATCGTGCCAAAGATAAGAGAATGGACTCCAACCAAGAGCCGACGATCTTTGACTCGACTGCGTTAGTGAACGAGCTGATCGCTCGAGCAGAACAAACCCCTGCGTACAACTCGAAGCAGACGGGAATGCGTCGACCGATGGTTCTTGGATCATTGCACATTCATCTATAGGCCAGCAACCTGCTGAGTACCATCGACCACCTCGTCATGCCCAGAGTCTGCTTTATAAAAAGTGGACTAACGATCGCTCTCGCAAAATCGCGCAGCTAGCTAACTACAGAGACCAACAGGCGGTGCTCCAAGCCCAGCAGTCCATGCAAACATTTCAGCAAACGCTCGCCGAGTTCCGCAACCAACGATAACTGTTGGTAATACTCAAAAGTATGCTTATCTACAGTATGTCTACCATTTCGAGCCTCAGTTGTCAGGACGTGGTCGATCTGCAAGCCTCCAAGCTTTCTGCGCAGCCCCGACGCCGTGTTGAGCGTGTGGACGTAGACAGCCGCTCCGTCTTGTCCTTCCTCCGATTCTTGCTTGCAGTAGGTGATAACGCCGCCGCCACTTCCTCCCCCCCCCCCCGAACACCACAACTTTGACTCGGTCAACGCATCGCGGACTCACAACGAAAGTAGGAGGCACCTCGCCATCAGAACTTGCCAATGCTTTCCGGACGAAGTCAATGGCAGTCTCCGTTCACCAAGAACGGCGCTTCCTTCTTGTGCTTGATAATGTATCGACCAGGACAGCTCCGGATCACCTTCCACGGCGCGAAGTCCCTACTCCATCCACAGACAACAAGCAAGCCAATTAAACAATGTCATCTCTATCAACATACACACTCCCGCTCCGTACCACAAACGCTGCAGTAGCTCCCCCGCCATCGCCCACGTAGTTCCCGTCGCCTACAAACGCCGCCGCACCGTCCATTGCTTGCTGCTCTCCTCTCCACCAGCTTGTGGATTGTGCTTTACTGGGATCACCCCATTTCGATGATGTCCCAGTTCCGCGTGGTGCAGTTGACGCAGGAGGCGCTCAAGGTGCAGTCAAATGCTAATGAGTGCCTAGCTTCCTGAGCTATATAAATGGCCGCAGAGGTGCACTGCATCGTGCAGCGGGCTAGAGCAAGCGTAAAGCAGCCTTTCGTGCCAAAGTTCAGCCCCGTGAATAGACACATCTTGGATGTACCCATCAGGCGTTTCATGTAAACGGCAGCCGGATCGGAAGCTCTCGTTTGTCACCTGCACTGATCTTGCGAATCGACGGTACAATTCGCGCGTGTTGGGCTCCAGTTGACGGCTCTCGCGCAGAATACGGCGGTACAGGCTGCGCGAGTTGCGCCGAGCTTGTGCGAGCGGAAGTGAGCGGCTACAAGGGCAAAGGCAACTTTTGCTGCAATAGGCACGAGCAGCATCTCGTCACACGTCGCAGACGCTTGTGATTGGCTAAATTTCACGCACTTCAACTTGGCTTCGCCACACGTCGCAGATACGTTTCATTGGTTGAAGCCCTGTCGTCACTTTGGCGACAGATTCAACTCGAAGTTGCGGGACGAGTTAGCGATGGGCGTAACGGGGCTGCTGCCGGTGCTCAAGAGCGTCACGGACCAGGTGCACGTGTCCAAGTTCGCGGGCAAGACCGTGGGGTGGATGCCTCTGGGTGGCTTTACAAGGGCGCGTACAGTTGCCCCGTGGACCTCGTGCTGGGGCGACCGACCGACGCGTGCGCAACGAATTAATCTCCGTTTTCGTAACCCAACCCTCGAATTAGCGCTAAAAACTGCAACTGCACCTGTAAAAGGTACCTGAACTTCAGCATCCAGCAGATCAAACTGCTGCAAGAGCACGACATCACACCCATTTTAGTGTTCGACGGAGCTCCACTGCCCACCCACGTATGGGATACAGGATAGTATTAGCCAATCATAATTGTGTCTTCAGATTGACAGGGCTTGACTTGTTGAGGGATACACCAATTTCAAGCCAGTAATTTTTGCACTCTCGGCCGCTCAGCGCGCGATCATTTCTGCAACGGCGCGGGCGCCACCAAGTCACCCTCGCCTGTCTGGAGGTCAAGGCAGGTGCAAAACGACGCGGGCCCTACCATTTTACACTGCTACAATGAAGAAGGCTATGGTCAAGCACCTGAGACTACACTGCAATGTTTGTTTCGCTGAAGATACGTTCTTTCCGGGTCTACCTACAGAAAAGTATCAAGGGGGAAGAGTGGTGGTGGGGGTGCTTCTGTCGGCGGCAGGAACAAACGCAAAGCTTGCTCTACTGAACTTCGATCTCAAGTTGGGGTGGTGGCGGCGAACAAGCTAATAAGTTGGGCTGTGTCGGCAGCCGCATTGGTGAGATTCGGCCTTGAGAGACTTGAGGTAGAGTGCTCAGTTTAGTAATTTTGATAAATACATCTGGGCGTCTGGTGCCGATTCGTTTTTTGAGCAAAATCGGGCGTCTGGTATTTTAGCTCCGGTAGGGTGTATCCCTCTACAAAACAAATTCGGTAGGGTGCAGCTCTCTACATGCGAATTGCGGTAGTACAAATTTACCAAAAGTCATGGAGGACAGAGCTCTCTGCTACTTTGCAGCGCTCAGCAGCAGTTCTATTTATGGCACGTGGATTTATCTGCGAATTTGTCGCCCCACGCTTTCAGCTTGACGATCTGTATGGCATTTGCTTGATGAACTCTTCGTATCGAATCTCTCGGGTGGACTTGGACTGCAGCACCTGTATCTGGGGGCTTTGGCAATGATAGAGCCCGCTACTATAGCGTCAAGACCACGCCCCCCCCCCCCCCCCCCGTACTGTATTTTTCTATCGTTACATTCTGATCGATTAATGCAAAATTTCGACTCAGGTCGCTCGAATGCTATTTGAGGTGTTCCACACAACCTGCCGCCACATGTAACATTCACCTAAAATATCATCTTAGGCGGGGTATGCGTCTTACTGAAGTGCAGTTTAACCGATAATTTGTATCAAAACCTGCCTATACTGCTAGATGTCAATGAATCAAGCTGGTCAGGTATGAGCCAGGGATTCCAATCGCCCCTTAACTCTGAAATAAATTTCAGAGAACAGCCAGTTAGAAGTGTAAAGTAAACAAGACTGCTGGCTGGAACATCGTTTCGGCCTAAAAAATTCTTGAATGCACATTACCTGCCAGATGCTGCGGCTGCGAAGCAGGCGCAGAGATGGCAGGTATTAGTTAGCATCAACTAACAGTGCGTCTTGACTCGAATTTTGTGCTAAGCTTTTGTGCTGCAAAAACGCTATCCACGGGCATCTCCTGCGCCTGCTTCGCAGCCGCAGCATCTGCCTGCCTTCGACTGCTAGAATCGTTCATGACAGACTTCTCGAAAGCTGCAGTTGTGGCTGAACTCCCAACCCTTCCACAGGCAGTCCGCCAACTATTGCACCAGCCACCGAAGAATATACAACAAAACTACATATTGGTACACGCGTCCACATCACGCAGAGTGTTTACATTGTGCCACACCGGCATCACTGAGGGCTGCATTTGAACTTTTTTTCTAAACTATCTGCCTGACAATAAGCCTGCAGACCTTGCACGTCTAGGATTAAAAGAATACGAAGCAGAAAAAAGGTCTCCCAGCCAAAGCGCAGCAACCTTGTAAGTTCGCAGTATTCTAAATCATGCTGCGTTTTGTTTACTTTCGCACGGACTGAAATAATCTGTAGGCCGCGTGGTCATGAATATAACTATCATCGGCGCCATTATAACCCGGTATCACACTATATGCATGGGTACATGTAGTCAAGCTACAAATACTTGGGAGAGTGTTGCTGGAGGGGTGCTGCAGCTGGGGTGCTGCCGCTGTTGAATTGTTTTTGAAAGTGAGGCTCTTTCTTTTGAGGCGTTTTATAGGAGAGAAGACGGCCAAACAAGTCCACTGATAGCAACCTTAATGCTCCGTTCTTGGGGACGAGAAGTTCTTACTAAGATTCGAGGAAGAGTGCATCTAATGCTTCAAGATCGTCCTCTGCAACGGACACACCTTGGTGGGACGGGCACACCTGAAAATTGACTTATGCCTAATATGTCTAAAACCGGCTGATTTTGAGGAGCTCGTTGGAACTATCTTTGTGAAATGGCCCCCCGCGCAAATCTCCGGAAATGGCTCTCCTTAGTCTCGCCCATATTCTCATGAACGTTTGATTGTGCTGCTGTGAGACAGGGTCGACATGAACGTGTACTGCTGCGAGGCGGAAGTGGACAAGCTCAACGCGCTGGAAGAAGAGGTAGGCTTCAGGAAATCCAGACTCGACAGTCTCGATTATTGATACTGTTGCTGTGCTTATCCAGGTCGCGATCCTTGAAGGCGAGGTCGGTGTTTTTCTTAAGACCGCTGCATTCTTCACCATCTCGCGTGGAAGTGGACACTAACCCACTAAGGCAAACGGCCGCTTTAAGGCCATCGGAGCAGTTTAAGACCGTCTTCATTATGACCAATAGAAGCGAGTAAATGCGATTACAGTAGAGCTCAAACACTGGATAAATATAGAATACATATGTTTTTGGTGCAAACCTTCGACTTCTTCTCTGCGTTTGCTGCAGTGTACTTCAACAATGCCGCAAGAAGCAAGCACCAAGGCGTCCAAGAAAACAACCGAGAGACAGAGCTACACCCCAGCTGAATCCGCTTACAGCATGGTTGAGGGTCAAAGAGATCGTCCAGCACGACATTCTTGTGCTTCAGCCACCGCGGAAAACAAAGGGACGAAAGAGGAAAACAACTACTACACAAGGCAGAATTCTGACACGAGATCAGCTTGGGAACGACCCGGCGCCTTCTCAACCCAAGAAACGAAAGCAACGCAAGCAGCGGGCGAAGAAAACACAGACCCAGAACAAGACGGTATCGATCCGGGGCCAGTGCTGTATGAGATGGTGCTGTAGGTACTGCATCTTTAAATCCCCTCTTTAGTTTAATGCTAATAATACATATCCACTTCCAGAGTTCTTAGCGTACCTAAGTGAAATTAAACGGTACTGTTTTGGCTGACAGGCGTCGATACATACTGAAAGCAAGTCTAATCGTGGCCTTAAACTGAAAATAGGAGAAATCGGGGCGCTGTTATGTTTGGCTGTTCCATCTGCCACTGAAGACTCCAAAATATAGCTGAAATCGGCAGCTTTACGGAGCCGCCGCCATCAAGCTGATACCAGCTACAGTTGCTGAGAAATCGCGACTTAAAAATCGGAATCAATATGCGGTCTTAAACGCGAGGTGCTCCCCCTCCGGGGGAGGTAGAGGGGGGTCTAGGGTTTTGTGCCCCAAGGGTAAAGGGGGTTTTAGGGATAGGGTGTAGTTTTAATCCCAAGGCGAGTTAATGTTCAAGCTAGAACGCTCCCTGTGGACATCCCCTAGTATTTTCGATGATACACCGCGTGCGTAGCACGCGGTGTATCATCGAAAATACTAGGGGATGTCCCACCACCGATTTGCACCGGATCGGACCTAATGTGACCGTTTGCCACCGAATGTGTCCCGCTTCAGTGTCCCGGTTCCCTTCAACACCGTGACGCTGCTGTAGCACGCTTTGGGCGGCTCAAAGCTTCTTGACAACCTTCGTAGGGCACCACGGAGCATGGTATGTAGTTTAGAAACCCTACTTTAGTGTGGGAGTCACCCTTACATAGTGCATCTTCAATCCAGTGAATAACTGCGTTAAGGGCTCTGTTGCGGGGGCCTACGGCTTCAATTTAGTGTCAGGAGGATGCCTTCGTGCTCTTTCCTCTATTGCTACGATGTACTACTGAAGAATGCATTGCGTAGCGGGCCTAGAGGACGTGCAACTAGCGCTATCACGCAGCAGTCGCTTTGCGTTCACATATATGTCTCCTTGTTTGCATCTAGAGCATCTGATAGCGCGGACTTCATTCCTACAACATGTGAATACTACTAGGCAAAGGGCCTGGACGTATACGCCGCTCGCACCCATCGTTCAGGTCGTCGGAGATACCAATGAACCTGAACATCCAAGCCTACTTTGCGTTCACGATACCTCGCAAGTAATACATTTGTGCAGATACTCCTAACTACGTCAAATTACAGTCTGATAGTGTCCTGATAGCCTTCCACGTGCTTCCGCCGGCGGCGGAGATTGTCGGAGTTCGGGTGCAAATGTCGGAAATGTCGGGGCCTGGCGGCCCCAACATCACCGATAAGTCGCACGCGGTGTATCGAAAATGCTAGGGGATGTCCCACCACCGATTTGTGTACGGTGAGCTGGGCATGGCAAAGGAGGGGGTAGGCAGCAAGGCGTACCTCAAGCTCATGCGCTACGTCGACTACTTTGAGCAGTACAAGGCCATTGCGATAAGATTCGGTTCCACGTTTAAACTAACTGGTGGTAGTAATGAGACAGCCCAGAGTAAGTAGGCTTCGACTACTTACTCTCAACCGACGATCAGCTTCATGACAGATAAAATGTAGAGGAACCGACAATTCCAACAATGTGCTCATTTTATTTTTCTTGTTGGTACAATATCGATACCCTTAATAAACTCGTCTCCGGAGCTGCCTAGCTTGCAGGGTACCATCCACCCACACGTGGCACATTCATACTCGAACGCATGAACCCTTCTTGTTGTTATATAGGTCGAGGGGATGGAGGCGGCGGGTGGAGCTCGTCCAGGATCGAATCCAGCCCGTTGGCCTTGTCTCCAGATCCGTCGCGAACGAGTTGTACGGCACCAGTGCGGACTCGTCCGTCCGCTCCACGACATACAACACCTGGCGGGACTTCTGCTTCAGCTCGATCAGGGAAATGCCAGCGTGCTCCACGAATGATTCAAAAGTGTACGACTTTTCACAGCAGGTGCACGTGACTTGGCGCGACAAGGTCACCGTCCAATTGAAGGCCAGCCATCCAGACTTGCGCGGGAACGAGTGGTCGGGCACCGAAGTGTTCGACCTCACCACGCGGTCTACAAGACTGCCGTTCGACATGTTCATCACGTACTTGGGCGACAGACACACCACCAGCGCCAAAAAGTCCAAACTTGGCGGGTCCGACAATCGCGCCGCAGTCGAAGTCTTGTCACTCCGGGGCTTGGGGCGCTTAAATAGCGCGAGCGCGCAGAGTCTGGACACTGTGGCTGGCAGCGCTTCTGGGGTTCGTCATATTCATCGTGGGGATTGCGACCGCTGCGGCTGCCTCTCGCCTCAACGCGTGCCCTCTGCGCGAATTGGTGGGCGGGTTATTCGCGCTCTGACGACCAGCCCAACTCCTAAGAGCAGGCAGGAAATCGTCGAGTGGTGTGTGGAGCGTGGTATCCCGGTGTTCGACGAATAGGTACGGCATCGGGTCTTCCGTCGCACACTTCGCGTCCTTGGCCAAGCTGCTGTCTGTGTGGTGCACGAACTCGGGGTATCCGAACAGCTTATCGCAGCACGCGCACTGAATGACGGCTCTCTTCTTGAGCGGCCACTTGCACGTCCCCAACTTCATCATACCCGACACTCGAAGACTCGTTGTCCGAGAGCACACGATCGGGAAGCACCAGCGCTCAGTCTTCGTTTCGTGATGTACGCGCACTGCGCCAACAAGCTCGTCCCCTTTCAGATCAGGCTGCTCGGGCTCTCCAACAGGCTCGTACTTCACCTTCACGGACTGTTCTTCCTGCTTTCGCGGGGACCAGCTCCTGGTTTGCCTGAAGCTCTGCTTGTTCCTTCTTGACAGCAGCAGCATATTGTGCTAGTTGCTGCAGCTCTGGCTGGGTCTTGGTCTCTTGATGCTGCGTGGCAGCTTCTGCTGGGTGCGACTCCTGTTGTCGCTCCGCTACCGTGCTGACATGTTGCTCCATTTCCGGTCCATGTGTAGTCTTCTCAGCACTTCCTGGCTCACCTGAACCAGGTTGGGTGTCAGCCCCGGCGTCCACGTCCATCGGCACCGCCTTGGCTTCACTTCCCGCTTTTACTGCATCTTTCTTCCATTAACCCCGTCCACAGGTCCGGCATTCGTATCCTCTCCCTTCGGCATTATTGTCTCCTTCCTTCTTCACATCAAGACCTTCAGGTGGCACGCTCCGCGATGTTGAAGGCTTGGTTGTCCGCGCGTTAAGCACTCCATCATCGAGCGCTGCGCTGCCTCTTCGTGTACGTTGACTGCGTGACGTCGAGTTTGAGCGGCTCGGTGTCGAGGTCGGTGGCTTTGCAGCGCCGCTCTTCTTGGTCTTGTCCTTCTGGTCCTTCTTGCGCTGCTTCTCTAGTTCCATATCGTTCATCATCTGCACCAGTTTCCGCTGCCGGTAGTAAATCGCCTTCTCCGGCTGCGCGCACGTCGGACAGTCACACTCCCAGAGATACCCGCCGCTCTCACAGAAATCCACAAACGCAGCTCTGCACGACGCACACCGGAAGATGTTGCCACGACGCTCGGGTGCCTCAAGCTGCAGACGCTTCAGCTGGTCCAGAATCGACACCTTCGCATCCACGTACGGCTTGAACGCGTGCCAGAAGCACTTGACGTGGTACACCCGTCGACACGCGTGGCAGTGCATCAGCACGCACACATTCGCCGCCTTCCTGCAGAACTCGCAGTGACGGGCGTCGTCTCCTGCCGCCTCCTCCACGGACTGCTTGGCCTTGGTCTTTGTGGTTGCAGCCGCGTGCTTGTTCTTGTTCTTGCTCTTGTTCTTCAGCTTCAGCTCGGGACTGGGGGTCGTGAACGGCAGCGGCGGCAGGTCCGTGATGATCGGCGCAGCTTCGAACACGGGCGCTTGGCGTCGTTTCTTGCCCCGCTGCGGCTGCTGCTCAGCGCTGGCGAGCTCCAGCGTGTCTTGCGCCACTTTCTTGCTGCCCGCTGTCGTTGCCGCCACTCGAGGCCTCTTCGTGGGAGGTGTAGCCATCTCACCCGAACGCTTCTTGTCACTGTAGGCTTGGACTCCACCACCTCCTGCTCCTGCTCCATGGGTCGCACCTGGGCTGAAGCCAAGAGCATGCCCAGCGAACCTTCTTCCTCTTTACCTTGTCGAGCCATTCCGGCGTTCGCAGCAGCGGCTGCAGCTCTGGACGGCCTCCTTCTGCCTTCCTCGGCTGGAGGCTGCTCTTCCTTCATGATGGCTACATCGTCAGCATCATCAGGTAACATAGCTACATCTTGAGTCTTGGCTGCATGGTCCGCTGGGGCACGTTGTTGTGGGGGTTTGCTGGCTGCTGCATCGCTCGCGGCCTTGGCAAACACGACGCTCAATGTTGTTTCCTCGCCTTTGACCTGCTTCGCCATCTCGGCATTCGCCGCTGCAGCTGCAGCTCTCGGGCGGCTGGTGCGGCTACTGACACCGTCTGCGCTGCTCTTCATGGCTACACTCTTGGCGTCAAACGGGGTCTGCTTCTGCTGCGTCTCCTGCGTCTCTGAAGCCATCTCCGCGCTTGCAACTTGGTCGGCGCCTGCTCCGGTGTCTTACAAAGACGAAGAGATCGTCGGATCTACTGTCTGTGGCGTCTCTGGGTGCGCAGGAGTCTCCGCCACAGAGGCGCTCGTGGTGGCCATGAGGTGTCGGGCCCACTTGCTGGAGTGTGGGAAGGAACGCCAGGTGATTGGCTTAAAACCCGGACCTTATGAAAATCATGGCATGATGGGAGGCAGGTCACTAGATGATGACGCACATGGCTACATGTTGACAGTGTAGCCATTTACAGAAGTACATGTATTATTAAGCTTATTATAGAAGTTGAGCAGGTTTGCGATGCACCTGAAAGCTCCGTCGACGCGTGAAGGCCGAGGAAAAGGCCGCGCGCGTGGCAGTCGCGGGCGAATCGCGAGTGTGAAGGTCGCTCCAAGAGCCAAGACGCCTATGACGAGCTCAGCAGCCACTGTTGCCCGCGTATCGGAGACCAACGAGTCGGTAGACGATCCCAATGAAGCCACTACAAGCTCCAGCTCTGCTGCTGGTCAGAGCCAGCTCCAACCCGGCAGACTGCGAGGCTTCAGTCGAGCCGCGCAGTCGATCAACTCCATGCGCAAGCTGCAGAAGTCCACGGAGAACGTGGCGGAGGCGGAGCAGCAGCAGCAGCCGACCGATTCGTGCTCGTCGGTCATGTCCAGCGTGGTGCGCAGGGTGAGTCGACACAACAACGCAGCCGACACGGGGCTTGGACACGCGTCGTCAAGCGCCACCGGAGCGGGAGCTGCCGCGTCCGACAAGCGCATCTCGCTGGCGCAGATGCTCAAGAGCCGGGAGATGAAGAACCTGATGCAGCAGGCGCTGGTCGCCAACAAGCAGTTCGGACGCGTAGCCACGATCCCCGAGGAGCAGTCGCGGGTCATAGCGCACTGGATCAAGCTGTTAACGTTAAAGGCGGGAAGTCGGACATTGTGAAGTACTGTATGGCACGATCACCGTTGCCCACTCTTCTCCTTTTCGTTTGGAATTGACGGGACACGTCGTGAAACCAACCACGTACTCGGCTGCGCTTGCGAGAAACCTCTTGCTGCACAATAGGTTGTTCGTCGCGTACCAGCAAGTGGATTTGATCGGTGGAGGGGTCGGGCATACCTTTCTGCACGTCTTGGCCTGGAGCTCGTGATCTTTGTGTGTCAGCTCTTTAACAAGAGCCGATATTTTTCCGTCTTCAGCTTCTTTATGGCTTCAGTGTCGGACTGAAGCCATGCGTCATTGTTCTTTGCCAGGAAAACTGCAAGCTGCGCGCAGGAACCTCGATGTCTTCAATTTTCGCATTGATCGCATTTTTTTTCAGGTGATTTATCGTCACATTCTTGTCGATGACGATAGAGAGCGTGCTGCCTTCCCCAATGATCGCGTTCCTCAACGCGACGGACTCTGAAATAATCGACATAGGGGCAGGAAGAACGCGCTATTGGCCTCAAACTTTCAATAAATCAACATCAACAGACTTATCATGGGTACCCTACCCTGTCAATCCGCAATTGATGAGACGGTTCACATGGCTAACTTTTGCGCTAGTCGCACAAACTTCAGTTTTATGTATCCATTATGTGGTCCCTATACAGGGATGAGCGCCTATAAGAGCGCGTCGTAAACACATAGTTTTACAAAGTTATAATATTAAACTCGAAAGTACAACATGTTGCACACATAAAGGCCTTTATGTTTGTATACCCGCCTAATATGATTTGAGACCCGCGCTCTTATAGACGCTCATCCCTGTACTCGATAAGATCCGAACTGGCCGCACATCCTGACACACTATGTGTGTATGTGCAGAATGAGCTTTGTTGTAGATCATTGGCGATACTAGAACCGCTTTGATCGGGAATTTTACTGGGCAAAGAGAACGATTGAAGCGGGCTGAACAATAGCACTAGAGGTAAGCATTTGCATTTTCTATAAGCTACAAACAGATCTCAACCAAGGTTCACATTTTTAGTTTTGTAAAGCATTGTCGGTTGATATCCTGCATCTACAGTTTTAGGGCAAATTTCCGGGCAGATGCTGCGGCTGCGAAGCAGGCGCAGGAGATGGCCGTAGCTAATAAGAAAAATAATTAATAAAATAAAAACTAGGGCTATGCATAGGCTGGGATAGCAATTTTACGGGGCAACCCGGATTTTTGACACAAAAAATAGTACTTCTGAACTTCAGAAGTACTATTTCAGAATCTGAAGTATGAAACACTGCAGTCGAAAATTGTTTTCGTCTGACAACTACCAGCTACATTGGAGTACGCATATAACGACAATCGAAGAGAAATCCGGCTGCAACCTCGATCGCTAGAAGTTAAACTATCCACCGCCTCTTTTGCCTGGCAAGTGGTAAGATGCGCTATGAGTCCAGACGGCTTCGTGAGCGATACCTTTACGAAAATCCTGGTACATTATATTAGTTCTTAGTAAATGTTGCGATTTCGTATGTCTTGCCATTTAGGGGTTCTAAACTTATGGGGTCGCTGCGGCCCCATAAGTCTAGAACCCCTTGCGACCCGGTCGCAAGGTAGCGTGGCCACATCTTCTAGTCGATGAGCTATAGACACCACTCCCAACTTGAAAACTTGTCGTTCGTAGCGGTCGTACCTACCTATCCACCCGCATGCCCTGGCTGGGGGCGACAACAATTGCCGCAGTACCACCATCAAGGACCCCAAACTAACATGACTGTCCAGGTTGACTACGACGCTAAACTAGAGTAGCTTCAGCTGACGGGTGTTGTCTCTTAGTCGTCGTTGGCTGTGAGTGCGCGCTGGTCTCGCTGATGGGCATCACTTAGTGTTGTCGCTTCTTTTCGTCAGCTGTACGAAGGCAGCGGTTCGATATGCGAACTTTTTCAGGTGCGAAACTCATCTCTTGGGGGAGCGGAGTGTAGATCGCCACGACTTTGATCTGCGCCGAATTCGAAATGCTGAAGGTGCAACACGATTGATGTTTAGATCTACTAGACAGAAAGTGATATCGCCTCAGTTACCAGCTTCAGCTACCGGGTCACCAATAGAAAGACAGACAGCGACAAAGGACCACGGATACCGGCCTCAGTTACCGGCTTCAGTTACCGAGGCGCGAATAACCCGATTTAGCAGCATGACCTATGGGCCACTGCTATCCCAGTACGAGAGCTTTGAGTAGGCTGGGATAGCTAAGGAACGTTGGGTGAGGCAAACTCGGGGCTGCGGTACAGTGCATTTGTGTCTAATTCGGCGAGGCGGTGCATGTAAAAAATAAAGAAGTCAAGTAGTTGGCGTGTCCTCGACACTTGATTTCGAGTTACTACGTCCATAGGACCAGTTAAATGATCAAACATTTTGGCGTATAGCAGTCGAAAAAACGACACATTACGGAGTTTTGTTTGGAGACAATCCCTCGTACTCGTTGTATGGCTGCATCAGCTCCACACCATCGATCAACACTACAGACACGGTAAAAAGGTTGTACGTGCAAGTACGTTTTCTAATGGATAAACTTGGGCGCAAGGACTCGTATTCGGGTCTCCTTGTTATGTATCGCCAGTATCAGTTGAGAATTTACGCTCGAGCCATGATAGCGGTTTTGCAGCACAAATGTTGATCTAACACAGAATTCGAGTCAAGAAATACAGTTAGTTGATTATAACTACGGGCATCTACTGCGGCTGCGAAGCAGGCGATTCTAACTACGGGCATCTACTGCGCCAGCTTCGCAGCCGCAGCATCTGCCCGATAACGCGTCTATATGATACCCACCGGGGGCAGCCTAAACAGCATCACTAAAACTAGCAATCACATACGGAGCCAAAGCACCATGCCTGAGGGTACCTCAGTCTCTCGCGGCCACGCGCGCTACACTCGCCAACTATCATTGCGCATTTAAATAGGTACGACAACTCGATCGCGCGAAAGATATATCCGCGAGTGCACTTGCGCAAAATTACGTACATACTTGCGAGTGCTACTTAGCCGACACGCAGAAAACTCTGTCCAAGTGCTCACCATTTGCGGCCGTGTAGGCTGTCTCAGGCCTTACCCCCTCGTCCTCCAAAGCACCCACGGACCACGTCAAGAGAACCGCTGAAGCGCTGCAACATCGTTAGCTTGCACCCGCGGCCGTAGTGTCCAAAGCTGGAGCCGAGATTTGGGATTGATGGAGAACGCGTCATCCCATAGCATCAACGCAAATATTCAGTTTATTTCAGTTCGCCGGCTTCAGTTACCGGCTTCAGTTTACCGGAGCCAGTTACCGGGGTGACGCCCAATTAACCTGTGTTGGGCTGGCCACAGCACTCCCTCCGGGGTTACTGCTATCCCAGAATAAAGGGTTTATACCTTCGCGGAGCCCTAGTAAATTCTGGTCACTAAGCAGTGCTTTTAGTGACCAAAATTTTTAGCATCAATCAGTCGAAAAATTAATGCCAGCGGAATTTTATCAGATTTATTGTCAACTAGGACTCCGCGAAGGCTGGGATAGGAGATTTTTTGTATAAATTCCTTCCCTTATTTTTATTATAGTTTCTTATTAGCTACGGTCATCTCCTGCGCCTGCTTCGCAGCCGCAGCATCTGCCCGGAAATTTGCCAGTTAAAACTGTCTACCGGCAATGCTTTACAAAATTGAAAAGTGCGAACCTTGGCTGATATCTGTTTAGAGCTTGTAGAAATATTCAATTGCTTACCTTTAGTCTTTACTTCATTTCGTTCATACGTACCCAGACATATACTGATTCATACCAGTGTTGTCGGTAGTGCACCGGTTCAATCTGCCCACGCATATAAACCGTTTGCTATGATGCCTTCATTTCGCGCTCGATCAGAAGTTTTTCTTACGCCTGCATTAAGACAACTACCACTACAGGACCGCATATTTTCGAGAGCTCATAACAAAACTAAACTACTACCCGTCTTAAGTGGTTGGCTATGACGCCGAATTGGAACAGTAGCTAGCTACGGCTGACCGACGGTGACGCTGCCCCGGTCTCTC